CAGCTTCTTAGTCTCCCTTACATATGTAAACTATCCACCCCAGGGCAGGTATAGCTCTCACACCCACAATTATTCAACTCTAAAAGCCTGCCCCATGGTCGCATGAGGCTTTGGAGGGGACACACAGACATAAGCCATAACAGTGTCTTTAGATTTTAAGAAATTACTGCAAAAAAAATTTTATTGCAAAAGAGTTCTGAACTGTCAAGCTGCCTGGACTCATGGGCTATTGCCATTTAAAATCCGTGTAACTAGTTTGTTTAAAGCACAAAGCATAACTAATCAAGTATTATTTTATTTTTATTACTTTTGTTTGAAGAGATTTTAAAAACACAGGTTTAGTTTAAATGTCTTTTACTTCACTATTCTTTTCTTACAATGAAGAGATGATTCTTCTAGTTTATGGTCAAAATTTGTGAAGCATTACAATAATATTTTACTTAGCATAACCCTAAAATTGTTGTCTTTTGGCCTATGAAATGGGTAACTTTTGATACCAGCCTAGTTCTTTTTAAAAGGGTCAATAGTAGACATTCTAGTTTAGGTGGTTGATGGGCTTAGCCATACTTGCTACTAAAGAAATTATCTCTTTTTCCCCCTCCCTCTTGGACTCATATAAGATTGAGATGAGAAGAACAGCATTTTTTCTGTATCAATTGTATTTAAATCTTTCAGTGAGGGTAGCTAGCTTAATGTTTAACTAAACTTTTTTTTGTTGTTGTTGTTGTTTTTGTTTTTCTCCGGTACCGAGAACCGAACTCACGACCTTGCGCTTGCCAGGCAGGCGCTTTGCCGCTGAGCTAAATCCCCAGCCCCCTAACTAAACTTTTTTTTAAACAAGGCCAAGGTCTATTGCTGTTTTGAGATGCTGAAATTAAGTGAAAATACTTAGCTCAGAAATGCATTTTACATTTTGGGGTTTTTGTTTGTTTATTTGTTTGTTTGTTGTTTTGGTAATAGTTACTCAAATTAGCTTGAATTTCCTATGGTCCTGAGTTATTTTTATCGTAAAGCCACAAATTTAGTATAACAAGGCAAATTATAATACTGTGTATATAATCCTAAACTCATGACCATGTTTCCTCATTTTATTTTTTCCCTTGGATTGAAATGTACTGAAATTCAGTGACATTAAGATGCAAATTTTCCTATTAAAAATAGACAAGTATCTTTTGAGATTTGTTTAATTAAATTACTGCATTTGTAGCATTTAGACAATAACTGGGGTAAGTAGTGATGCTGTTAAACAGTGCTTGCAGCTTTCCTTTCTCTTGCCATGTTTCTTCTTTTTTTAGTTTCTTTTTATTGCTGAAATAATTCTTTGCTGGAATTTTAGAAAAAACAACAGATTTTTAAGTGACCAAATTCATAAAATTGTTATTACCTTAAATTATTTACAACCAAACTGTTACTGGAGATGTAGCTCAGTAGAAGAGCATTTTCCTAGTGTGCATGGAGCCCTAGGTTCAATCCCCAGCACTACAAAAAAGAAAAAAAAGAATAATTAGGGGGCAGGGATATAGCGCAGTGGCACAAGCGCCTCCCTGGCAAGCTCAAGGTCCTGAGTTCGAGTCCCAGTACCAAAAAAAAAGAATACAACCAAACTATTTTTCCAGTGGCCCAGAAATTCCCTAACCCCTGCTGGGTACTGGGGCATGAACCCAGGGCCTTTGCACTGAGCTACATCCCAAGGCCCTGCCACCCTTTTCTCTTTTAATTTTGAAAGAGCATCTTACTAAGTCACTAAATTGCCTAGGCTTAGCTTGAATTTGGGTTTATCAGCCTGTCTTGGTTACGTTTTTCTCGTTGCTGGGACAAAATACCTGACGCCCAAAATTAAGGAAGGAAAGGTTTATTTCGCTTACAGTTTGTGGAGGTTTCAGTCTGTACTTGGCAAATTATAAGGCAGAGTGGCACATGGCAGAGAGCTACAGCTCAGGGCGCTACAGCTCAGGGTGGCAGAACACAGCAAAGCAACAAAACAAAAGCCAGGAATGGGGAGGAATGGCCTCAAGCAGCTTCTTCCTCTCCCTTACATATGCAAACTATCCACCCCAGGGCGGGTGCAGCTCTCACACCCAAGTGTGAGAGCTCTAAAAGCCTGCCCCATGGCCACATGAGGCTTTGGGGGGACACACAGACATAAACCATAACACAGCCTCACCTCCAAGAGTGATGCAATTACAGGAAGGCACCATCACCCCTGGCTTCCATAAATTTCTATGGAAAATCAAAAGCACCTTTGCAGACAGGTAAGTTGCAACTCATCTGTGCTCTTTTGGTTATAGCAGTTGTGCTCCCCAAAATGGTTGTGCTTTATTTTTCTTCTTTGTTTTCATTGCTGAGGATCTAACCCAGAGCCTTGCCTGCTGAACTATATCCCCATCCCTGTCCATTTTTTATAAATGAAGTCTATAGTAAAGGCAGGAGAAAGCTTGCTACTTGAAGGAACCTATAACTTTTTATAGAAGAAATAGGTCTTTATAAGTTCCAGTCATTCCTAATTAATCTAATGTACAAATCCAGAGTTTTCCACATACAATTTATGAATCCCTAAAATTTTTCTCCCCCTAGAAAATTTTCCCTCTTATTTGGGTAATGATTTTCAATAGAGGGATGGAAGAACAGTTTATCAAACTGTCAGAGTGGGATTTCAGACTGTAAAAGGTCCTATCCAGTGGGTTCCCTGCGTTTCCACAATTTCTAAAATCAGGTTTATTGGAGTATATTTTATATACAGGGAAATTTGGTTATTTTGTGAAGTTGATAAATGCATATGGTGATGTTACTGTCACTATCATCAAAGCATGGAACGAGTACTGCATTGACCCTAAAACCCCTTATGCCCACTTTCAGTCAGTTCCTTCTTGCTAGGAAGAAGTGACTCTAGTCACTGTCAGCAACTCATCTGTTTTCTGTCGGCAGTTTTGCTTTTTTCCAGAGCATTAAATGAATAGAATCACATGGTATTTAGGTATTTTAGTGTAGTTTCTTTTACTTAGAAAAATGGATTTGAAACTGAGTTGTTGCATCAGTTTGTTCCTTTTTATTGCTCATCAGCAGTGTATTGTATGCATGTATCGTAGTACATTGATCTGTTCACCATTTGAAAGACATTTGAAGTGATTCTATTTTGGGGTCATTATATGAAGAAAGCTACTATAATTGCTTCCATACAAGTTTTCCTATCAACATAGGTTTTACTTCTCTTAAGTAATTATTTAGAAGTAGAATTTGTGGGTTGTATCGTAAATGTAAATTTACCATTTACCATGCCGGTTTTCTTAGCTTCCAGAATCTTGTCACATTCCTACCAGTTAGGTATGTGAGTTTTGGTTGTTCCATATCTAAACTTGATACAGTTTTGTTGGATCTTTGTTCTTGCTACTCTTAATCTAATTGTTAATTTTGGCTTTGTTTTTGAACTTTTTAGTAACATATGCATGTTTGAAACCTGATTACTAATTTTACAATTAAACTGTGATAATAACTTAAAATTAATAGGCCACAGTTTTTGTTAATACTGATGTTAAATAATTAAAATATGTCAAGGAATAATCAAGTGACAAGTTTTTTTCGTATTTCATTGAGATGACTGGTCAGTTATAAAACTGGACGTGCTGGGTGTGGTGGCACACATCTGTAATCCCAGCACTCTGGAGGCTGAGGCAGAAGGATGACCAAAAGTTCAAGGCCAGCCTGGGGGTGCATAGTGACTTCAAGGCCAGCTTGAAGTACATAGCAAGATCCTGTCTCAAAAAACATAGAATAAAATAAAATAAAACAAACTAAAGTCAGTTTAGTTCATCTGAATTTTGAACACAGTGGTTTTATTGAGGTATAATCACATACTATAAAATTCACTCATCCCAAATACATCGCTTCTCAGCCTTTTGGCTAAGATCAAGTGTAGTATCCAAATATATAATTTACATTTCCATCGCTACAAAAAGATCCTGCAATCTCAGTTCTTACTTCCAATTCCTGGAAAACACTAACCTGTGTTGAGGCTCTGTAGATTCGCTGTCTCTTTACATTTCATGTAAATAAGACATACAAAATGTGGTCTTCAGTAAAGCATATTTGAGATGTACAATTTTATTGTGAAAATAATCGTTGATTTTATATATTTTTTTTTAACCCAGGCTTTTCTCTGCATTGAATTTTCACATTGCCAGTACCACTCAGAGACGGTGGTTTACCCTGCTGCAGCAGGCTCCCTGAGTGCTGCTGGCACTGGAATTTATCCCTGCTGCAACCAGAAAGTCCTTCGCTTTGACCCTACCCAGCTTACCAAGGTAAACTTTGAAAACTGCCTTTCGGTAGTTGCAGTGCTCCCCAACATTAAATTATTGTTTTCTTCTACTGTTGTTCTTACAGTTTAAAGTAATACATTCATGTAGAAGAGACTTCAAACAGTACATAGATGAGTATCAGAAGAACCAAAAGTCCCTCATTACAGACTCCCCCGTCTCCGTCTCCTTAGAGGAACCACAGTTAGCAATCTCCTTTCAGGCCTTTTTACATTTTAGGCACAAATTGTTTGTAGTACTTGCATACTGCATGTGGTACCATATTATTCATATTATTTTGTACTTTGCTTTTTCACTCAATAACGTACTTAGATTAATCTTTTGGTATCATTTTATGTAACTCTTGGGTGATAGCCTGAGCTGTGCATGCGTGCACAGCTTTTTTAACCATTCTCTTACTGATTTTCAAACATTCTCCTATTGGTAAACGTTGTTTCCCGATCGATGGGCAGTGAACATCTCGGTATAGTATGTGAACACTGCTGTAAGTTAGATTCCTTGATCACAAACATTTTTGCAAATGTCGTGTCATTAAATTTCATGAGTGAATGAAAGGAACCTAATTCTCATCATCATCATCCATACAAAAACTATTTAGAAAGCACCAAAGGTGAGCGTACACACTCACATATGTGGTGAGGGTTGAGAAACGACTACCTAGCAATAAATCTAACAAAATATATGCAAGAACTCTGTACAGAAAACAAAACATTATTGCCAGAAAATAAAACTTGGGCCGGGGATATAGCTCAGTGGCACAAGTGCCTGCCTGCCAAGCTGAAGGTCCTGAGTTCGATTCCTGGTACCAAAAAAAAAAAAGAAAAGAAACTTAAAACTACATCATTCTACCATGTTTGGAAGACTCCATATGGTAAAAGATTAAAGCTTCCTAAAGTGACATATATAGGTCAAATTCCTGCAAATCAACATGAAAATAAAAAAAACCCACCCAGATCATAGGCATTTCACACAAGACCCAAGAAACCAGTTGTTCTGTAAATAGGCTAAGGACAGCCTCATTTGTAAGTGGAGAAATGCAAATTAAAACCACAGTGAATACCAATACCGACTCACCAGAATGACTGAAATCAAAACTAGTGTCCAGGTGTTAACAAAGATTTAGAATGATAGGGGTTCTCGTGCTCTACTGATGAGAATATAATCTGGTGTATATGAGCAACCAGAAAACATGTAAAAGAATGTTCATAGCAATATTGTTTCCCCAAACTGCAAACTGCCCATCCACCAACTACAGAAGAGATAAATATATGATATATAGTCATATAGTGGGTTATTATACATTAAAGCAAATGTTACAGTTGTATGTAGTACATGGGTGAGTTAGAAGAACGTAATGTTAAATAAAACTCATGAAGCAAAACTGTGCTGTAGTGTTAGGGATGCATCCATAAGTGGCCAGGCTTAAGAAAGCAAGGAAGTAATTGCTGTGGAGCTAGGGTAGAGAATAGAGCTACCTGTTGGGAGGAGAAGGGCAGGATCAGGAATGGGCCCATGGGAGACTCCTGGAATGTTCTGTTTCTTAATGTGAGTAGTGATTATGTGGATTACTTGGGCATTTGGTAAACTGTACATTTGTGTTTCAATCTTTTTTCTGTATTTTTTTCTCAAGTTGTAAATACGATTTGACTAAGCAAGAAGACAAAAACAGTGATCTTTGAAGGCGTGTTCTATAATGAACCAACTTCTCTGCATTACTCTTCTTCTGTGACAGGGCTGTAAAGTGAGAGACCACATGGTAGCTCTTCATGAGCAAGGTGAAGGAGGGGATCTGCCGTCTTGTCCGGCTGCTAGGACCCTGGATGATCTACAGAAGCACAAAGATGTCATTGTTGTGCCTTTTTCTAAAGATACAGTTAGGTGAGGAGAAAACTAACCAGTAGCACTGTATTGCAGCCTTATTCAGTGGCTCCTATTTCAGAATCCCCTAGCTCATACTATTTCCCCAAGTCAGTAATTTTAGTCCTCTAGTTAGCATTCATTATTTTGCAAAGCTTAAATGAAGTTATATTAGCTTGTAAGGAGAACAACAGACATTTATTTGATAGGAAAAACACTTAAAAGTATTGGACGCCCATAAGGAAGAAAAATTAATGAGTCATTGATGATTAAAAAGGTTGCAGTCCTTAATCTAATTTTTAAAGATTTATTTTATCGCCCATTGCTTTAAGCCCTTTGTTTTGGTTGGTGGGGTTGTTTTCTTTTGTTTGTGGCACTGGGGGTTGAGTCGAGGACCCCACACATGCTAGGCAAACAGTTTACCACTGAGCTGCACCCCCAGCACCAAGCCCTTCCTTCTCCTCCGGCTCCTCTTCTTCCCGCTCCTCCTCCTCCCTCCCCACCACACCTGCACACTGGGGATTGAGCCTGGAGTCTTCGTACTCACTACATTCCCAGCTTTTGTTTAATTTTTTGAGACAAGGTCTCACTATGTCACTAAATTGCCCAGGCTGGGCTCAAACTTTCAATCCTGCCTCAGCCTCCTGGAGTGCTGGGATTATAGGTGTGCACTACTACCCCGGCTGTAAGCCCTCCTTAAATGCTTCATTCACACAGCTTTCCATTATTTGAATTCCTCAAATTCAGTAATACTTGAAGTCACTTCCATTGTTTTGTAATTACAGCAGGCTGTCGGGTTTGGGGCTGGTGCGGGGTGTGGTGGCACCACACTTGTAATCCTAGCACTTGGGAGGCTGAGGCAGGAGAATCACTGTGAGTTTGAGGCCAGCCTGGGCTACATAGTGAGTTAAAGGCTAACTTGTACTGTTTGGTTTTTTTTTTTTTTTGAGACCTAGTCTCAAAAGAATTTTAAAGAAGAGAAAGATTTGGGGCTAGAGGACCATTGAAAAGAGTCTGTTCTACAAGCAGTACCAGTCAGGCTGAGGGTGTGGTTCAATGGTAGAGTGCTTTCCTACCATGCAGAAGGCCCTGGGATCAATCGCCAGCACTGGAAAAAAAAAAGCAGTACCAGTAATAGCCCATTTCAGCACCTAGCAAATATGATGCTTCTTGCGCAGTGGAACACCCCATGTGGATGGCTTTTGTTAGTGAATTAATAAATGTAAATGTTGAAGTGGCACTTTATGCTCAGTAACTGTGTTTCTTTTTCTTCAGTGCTGGAGATCACACAGGACCTGGATTTTTGGTTTGTTTTTTGTGGTAGAGGGATTGGACCCAGGAACATAAGATTATTAAATAAATACTCTACCACTGAGCTACATCCCCAGCCCTTTTTTTTTTTCTTTTTTTTGAGACAGGGTCTCACTAAGTTGCCCAGGCTGGCCTTGAATTTGTGATTCTTCCTGCCTAACTTGGCTGGTTATAAGGATGTGCCCAGCTACACAAGGAACTGTATTTATTAAAATTGACTTACAAAATATTTCGTAAGATCTTCTCATTAAGTTTTTAAGAAATTGGGGGCTGGGGATTTAGCTCAGCGGCAAAAGCGCCTGCCTGACAAGCGCAAGGTCGTGAGTTCGGTTCCTGGTACCGGAGAAAAACCAAAAAAAAAAAAAAAAACGTTTTTAAGAAATTGAACACTTCTCCATAACAGTGTCTTCTTCTTTCAAGTGATGCTATGGTTGGTTCCTGCGATGAAAATGGTCTAGAGTGTGATATTTTACTGGAGCCACATACACCATGGGGCCCCAAAACTGGGGAACTCAATGCTGTGAGTAACCTGTTTTATTTATTCTTTAAAAACATACTTGATGGCTTTTAATTTTTGACAGGAACCTGGTGAGTTTAAATTAAAATAGAACTGATTACCTAGTCATAGAAAGGTCCTGTGTTGAGTTAAGACTGTACAAGTGATACCACATTTCTTACCCTCAATTAATAATTCAGATTAAAATTTGGGCGGGGGAGTAACATGGTCTTCAGATTTTTATTATAGATAAATAATAAGTTGAGAAGAAGATAGTATGAACAGGCACTTTTTCTCCCCTTATTTGATAAGCTTTTTATATGAAATTCTTAATTATAATCAAGAATATATTTAATTTTTCAAAAGCTTAAAGACTGAAATATCTCTAAAGTGACCAAAAACTTGATTCCTTTGTTTGTTACTAAGGAACAGAGAGTGTGTTTGCTTGTGAACTTCCTGCCTTCATCTTGGCTGGGGTAGAATTTACTTGAGAAAGTGAAAAATTCCAGGCAGCTATTTAAATATTCAGTCATTAACATTTATTATATCAAACAATAAATTGTATGATCATGATCCCTTAATTTATAATAAAAATAAACATTAAAAATGATTGAAGTAGTTAAAAATAACAGGTTATCTTTACATACGATTTATTTGTCCTTTGGAAATGATATTGGAGAAGTATTCCTTTTTTCTCAAGACAGGATCTCCCTATGTAGTTCAGGCTGGCTTTGAACTCACTGTGTAGCCCAGGCTGGTCTTGAGCTTGTGGCGATCCACCTGCCTCAGCCTGCTGAGTGCTGGGATGATGGGGGTGCACCACCATGTCCAGCTCCATTTTTCACGTTTTTCCTTTTCCCCTCCAGCACTGGGGATCGAATCAAGGGCCTGGCTCCTTCTAGACAAGGGCTCTGTTACTGAAGTATGCCTCAGCCCTCTTCTCTTGTGTAAACATCCATCACCTCTAGGCAGGAGATTGAAAATATGACATGTAACGTAGTGTATCAGTTTCGAGCTGAGTTTTAAATTGTTCCAACTTGAAAGGGAGCTGTACCAGTAACCTTGTCAGCTCTTCCGCAGTACCCACGTGAAAATACAGAGCTGTAATCTGGTAGAGGAAGATTTATTAATCTGTTATTCTTCTGTCTTACAGTTCTTGTCTCTGAAAAACTGGACTCTGCAACTAGTAAGTGAGCGATTACATTCAGCTTTCTTCATCAGTGAAGGTCTAGTTTAGTAAAATCTTGTGAGCATTTTTTTTTTTTTACAACTTCTAGTTAAACACTTGTCTTCTCTTTAGCTTTTCCACTTTTATATTTACTAAAAATGCCCTAAGATTGTTTAAGAGAGACGTGTACTCCATCATTAGGCTGTCTGGTTAAAAGACTTTTTTTTAAGTTAATTAAGTTTATTGGTCCATTTTAGGTAGACACATGGACCACATTCATCATAGGGAATTTATACCTGTACATGACACATCTTGGATCTTTTGGTTAAAAATCTTTTCATTCTTAAATCACATTTAGGACAATGAACAAAGAAAATAATGTGTTAAATTCTCATTTAGTTGGCTGGTTTATGTGTCAAATTTTTAACTTGTTTGCCAGTCCTATGCCATCTGCCATCGTTATTCATAGGAATGTAGTAGGCATTTGGGTTAGTGATAATAGACAGTAGGGTAGGTGGATGCAGGAAACAAATGTAGATATGTTTAGCTGTTATAGGCCCCGGTCACACATATATTTGTTTAGAAAACTAGCTACAGGTAGTTTTTTGAGAAAGGGGCTTGAAGTCCCGATTCTCCAGCTTCAGCCTCGCAAGTGTTTTGACTGTAGGTGTGTGCCACCAGGCCCAGATAGGAGACTACTTTCCTATTGGTAATTGTATTGTAATTTAATCAATAAAAGACAAGTAAGTTCAGTTGAGTGATGGAAATGCAAATTCAACAAATGCTGAGTACCTATTATATGTCTATCACTGTGCTAGGTTCTGTGAAGGAAATACATTTTAAAATTTTGCTATGGTATAATCTTGTTGGGGGGGGGGTTGGGTTATTTTTGTTTTTTTGAGACAGGGTCTCACCATACAATTCAGGCTGGCCTCAAACTCAACTATTTCAGCATAGGCTAACTTTGAACTCATGGTAATCCTCCTGCCTCAGCCTCCTGAGTGCTGAGATTACAGGCATGCATCACCACGCCAAGCTCTATGTAGTCTTGTTCTAAGTGTCGTTTTTGTTTTTGTTTTTGTCATTTTGCGGTGCTGTGGATTGAATGCAGGGTTTCATGTATGATAGGCAAGAGCTGTACCATTGAGCGACATCCCAAGCCCTGAATGTAGAACTTCTTATGACCTTATCCTGGATGTTGTACTAGGTAGGCAGCAGTCATTCTATCAGCTCTTATTTGACTCATTCATCCAAAATAAACAAGTAAATGTGTTTTAAAGAATTCATTAGAGCCAGGTGTGGTGGTACACTCCTGTAATCCCAGCACTTGGGAGCCTAATGCAGGAGGATCCCTGAGAGCTCAAGGCCAGTCTAAATTACGTAGTGAGACCCTGTCTCAAAACAAACAAAAAAAGAATTCATTAGAGGTGTAATAGTATTATATTTGTAATAGATGTGTTTGTTTTAAAATTTAGAAACAACAGTCATTATTTTCAGAAGAAGAAGAATATACCACTGGATCTGAAGTCACTGAAGATGAAGTTGGTGATGAGGAAGAAGTATCCAAGAAACAAAGTATTGGCTTCTAAGTTAAAATCTAATCTCACAGTTTACAAAGACATTACATTCTAAAGCTTTTACTCTAAGGGATGGGGAATTGGCTTTATATATCAACGTGGTAGATTACAATATCAGCAAAAAAAGAGAGAAAGGAGGCTACATTAAGAGTTCTCAACCCTGGCACAAATACAGGATAGTCAAAGTTGTAAAGAAAATACAGTATACTGAGAAATAATCCTCCAAATTTTTATTCAGGTGTAATCTAATGTCTGACTCACATTAGATGAAATGTGATCAGAGATGTGTACCTGCAGTGATTTGGAGAGACCCTCAAACGAAGCATTAAATAACATTCATGAGTATGATTTTTAAAAGATCAGAACCACAATTACAGCTATAAAATGATCTTGTGTCAAAAATTTTCAACTCATTAGTTCCACAAAAGAGTAGGGAAAATTGGTTCAGAGGGCCTTGGAAGACCCAGCTATTTATAGGCATTTGAGAAAAGGATGCTGAAAAAAGATTGCCAGTTAGATGCAACACTGATTAAATTCCCATAAGGCAATAAATCCATAACCTTTGATCCAGTCTTTCTATTACACAGAAAATTTGCAAGTTAACATGTAGCTTTGCAGTGTTTGGGCTGTGGTCAGTAGACTGTGTAGTCGGGGTTAGGGTGTCACTTGCTGGTAGAGGGCTGACTTAGTCTGTGCAAGGCCCTGGGCTTTCTCTCTAGCATACATTAAAAAAAAAGCAAAATCAGAGATTCTCTTAGAGAATCAAGTAATTCTTGAGTGGGCCTTTTAAGCAGTCCTTCAATATGAGGTTGAAAACACATGCTGTTATGTCTTGGTCTTCAAATTTCACATAATATTTTTGTAACATCGAATCGCTTCATAAAACCCAGGTCTCCATCAGTTATCTTTCAGGCTTGATTGGTCAAGGAGAAAACCCTGCTGTGTTGTGTGTGTGGTTTTCACATGTAATCAAATTCAGCCGCTCTTCAGTGAGGCTGGTGACTTTTGGCACAGTGACGTAGCTGTGTTCTTTAAATCAAGATCTAGCGCACTGCTACAAAATGTTCCCTTGTGCCCTTTGATTTTATACTCACTTATTTTATACTCACTCCCCTAAAGCAGTCACTGATCTGTATTTTGTCACTACTTTAGCTTTTGTAGGATTTCATGTGAATGGAATCATGAATAGCCTTGTGTCTTTGGACTCTTGCATTTAGTTTGATGCTTTTTAGAGTGATCCAAATTGTTGCATGTGTCAGTAGCTTGTTCCTTTTTATTGCACAGGAGTATTCCATTATATGGATAGATCATAATTTGTTTATCCATTCACAATTTCGTGGACATCTGGGTGGTTTCCAGTTGTTGTCTATAATGCTGCTGTGAACATTTGCGTACAAGTCTGTATGGACGTATGTTTTCATTTTTGTTGGGTGGATACCTAGGAGTGGAATTTCTGGGTCATGGTAAGTGCGTGTTTAACTTTATAGGAAACTGCCAGACTCTTTCTGCAAAGTGACTGTACATTTTGCATCCCCAGCAGCAATATATGAAATTTCTAGTTGCTGCACATTCACATCAGTATTTGGGATTTTAATGTTAGCCTTTCTCGGGGTGCACAGTGGTAACCCTCTTTTTAGATTCTTATTGGCCATTATGTATATCTTTGTTGTGAAGTACGTACATCTCTTGCCCATTTTTAATTAGGTTATTTGCCTTATCACTGAATTGTAAGGTTTCTTTATATACACTTTGATAAAAGTCCTTTGTCAGCCATGTATTTTGTAAACATTTTCTCTCAGCTTATGGCTTAGCTTCTGATTTTCTTAATGATGTCTCTCAAAGAACAAAACTCTTTAATTTGGTGAATTCCAATTTTTTTTTTCCAATTTTTTAGTTTTCCCTTTTATGTTAAGAAATCTTTGCTTACCTCAAGGTCAGATTTTCTGCTTTTTTTTCTTCTAGAAGTTGCTGATTTTGGCATTTGTATGTAGGCCTGTGATCCCCCCCAGGTTAGTTTGTACACAGTTATGAATTAAGGATCCAGCTGCTTTTTTTTTCTACTGCTAGCATAACCAGTAGTTCAAGCACTATTTGTTGAAAAGATTTTTCTGTCCCTTTTGTGTTAGCTTGACACTTTTGTTAAAAATTAGTTGACTTTTGTATTTCTGACCCTTGTTCTCTTGGATTCTTGTATCTGTCTTTACACGAGTGTATCAATAACACATTGTCCTAATTTTGGTGAATTTTTAAATTTGGTGATATGAGTTCTCTAAAATTATTCTTAGTTTTAAAATTTTAGCCTTTCCAAATGATTTGCATTTTTTATAAATTTAGAATCAGTGTAGATGTATCTATAGATAACTTGCCAAGATATGTACTGGGACTTCGTTGAACCCATATATCAATTTGGGGCAACCCCCTGCCCCAGGCAATTTTTTTAATTACTGACAGTGGAATACTTCTGCATTTATTTGTCCTTTTAGATGTCTCTCACTAGTGTTCTATAATTTCATTGTGCACGTGTTGAACATCTGTTGTTAAATTTATTTCTATTTATGCTGTCATAGTGTTTTCCAGTTCTTTCACGGTAATATTAAAATACTGTTGTCTTTGTATGTTAACCTTTTATCATATGAAGTTGATAGATTTTAAATTCACTTTTTTATTCTCCAGCCGTTAGACTCTGTCCATTTGTATTCCTTTCCTTTGTGCATGTGAGGACCGGTGGTGAATGGAGTCATCCTTGTCTTGTTTGCTGTTTTGGGAGGAAGCACTTAGTCTTTAGCCAATAAATACGTCATATTAATTGCTTCTTTCTTGAGTTTTTGAGGCTGGGTCTCATTATGTAGTTCGGGCTGGCCTGGAACTCACTGTGCAGCCCAGACTGGCTTCGAATTCATGGCGATGCATCTGCCTCAGTCTCCCCAGTGCTGGGATTGCAGGCGTGCACCACCACGCCCGGTACAGTTGTTAGTTTCTTGTAGACACCCTTTCTCAGCTGAAGAAGCTCCTTTCTATTGCTAGTGTGCTAAGTTTTTATGGTGAGTAACTATTGTCTTTCGTTAGATACTTTCTCTCCAGTTACTGAGAATCTTGTGCAGATTTTCTTCTTTATCATATCAACATAATGTCATTGATTTTTTTCAAGTGTTGCACCTGTCTGGAGTGAGCTCTGCTTGGTAAGGAAGTAATGATGACCTCACGATATGAGTTGACCAGCGTGGTCAACTTAGCACTGTCTCAAAATTAAATTAAAAATAAATAAATAGAAGGGCTCGGGTTCAGTTGCCAGTACCACCACCACCAAAAAAAAAAAACCATTATCATTGACTGTATTGTACATAGGTGTGGCTTTTCTTTATGATATTTAGAATACGTTTAAGTTTCTTGGTTGATTATTTGCCAGTACCTTCAGATATTTTTATATGTTTGTTTTGTTTTTATAACTTTTGGGGGGCAGAAATGGTCTAGCCTCTCGCTGCTGTCATTACCAGATGTCCTACCATGTGTAGTCTTTCAGCAACTTTGTAATACTTGATAATGTCCCAGTTTAGCAGATACACGTTAGGGACTCAGGGCATGCCAGCAGGAAAAGAAATCTGTCTAGGTACTAGAGGGTTTTTCATTATAAAATCTTCAAGGTCATTAGCTACATAGCGTGTTTTGTAGCTTTTCCATTTATGGTAGGGATATAAAATTTCCTTTTTCAGTTACAGTAAGTCCCCGACTTAGGAACATTCAATTTGTGAACTCTCAGGTTACTGTGGAAGACTCACTTTGTCAGCCTACGAAGGAGTCCAGCTTAGGAATAGTTCTGCCGGAATGGAGCTCAGTTGTAAGTCAGGGACTCAATGTACATAGCAAAATTTTTGGCTGCCAGGTGTATGTCCCCCTCTTCTTCATCCACCTCTCAGCCAGAATAGATTTAAAATACTGACTCCAAGAACACCTTAGTCTAGAACATAAGTAACTTGTTCAAGCTGCTGCTTCCCAAGGTTACTTTCGTCCTGCCTCTTGCCTGAGCAAAAGACACTGTAAAGATTTTATATGTGTATGAATTCTTCTCTTCCCCATTCTCAGATTGCCTTTTTCTAGACTATAGTACTTTTTTAAATGAAAAATTTGGAAGGCTGAGGGTGTAGTTCAGTAGTAGAGCACTTGCCTGTTATGCACAAGGTCCTGAGTTCCATCCCCAGCACCACAAAAAAATGGGAATTGCAAGATTTTACTGCCATATTGATGGAGAAATAAATGGACAATTTTACCCATCATTTTTCTATATTTAATTTAATAGAGATTTTTAATTCAGTGCTCTCAGTTTTTTTCCCGAAGATTTCACCAAATGGAAAGAAATGTAATTAAGATAAACCTCTGTAAAGCCATTTAGTTTTATTTCGCTATTTACTCACTTTTTTCCAGAGGTGATTTGTTAGTTTTTAAAAAGTATTGTTTTTAAAACATTTTTATTGCTTGGAAGTAGCAAGTACATCGGCTCATAACATTGTTCTTCGGTTACCAGGGAAAAAGGAAAGGCCAAAGAAGTTCACAAAACAGCCGAAAAAGCAGATGTCCTCACCCTGTGCTCCAAAGAAGGAAAAGCCGTCGGAGAAGGTAACTCCGAGCTGTTACGTTCTGCAGTGCATGGCAGAGATAGGCAAGCTGGAACAGCCAGGAAATACCTAAAACCGAGGACTAGTGAGCGTCACGGCAGAATGATAGCAATCTAAAACGACCGAAGTGCTTTATAAACCAAGACTCCAGATCTTTAGGGTATGCTAGAAAGTGAAAACAAGGGTAATGCGGAGCAGAATGTAAAGCAGTGTAGTGTGCTACCATTTGTGCAGACCAGATGGGGAATATGTGTGAATCTCCTTGCATAATGTGTCTCTGGAGAGCTGTGTAAGAAATGGATAAGACAGATTATCCATGAGGAAGGGAAACGAATGTGTGGAGGACACAGGTGCTGGTTAAACCTTTTGAATTTTTTTTGTTTTGGTGCTGGAAATCAAACTCAGGACCTTGTGCTTGCCAGGAAGGCACTTGTGTCCCTGAGCTATATCCCCGCCCTTAAACCTTTTGAATTTTAAACCAATATTACTTATTAAAGAAATAAGTAAATGAGTAGATTTTTAAAGTTTAGAAGAGGTTGGGAGGCTCCAGCAACACCAGCAGCCATGGGCGTCCTCATCCGGGCATGAACACGTGCAGGGTGAGCCATTGCCTCTTGCCAGGAGTTTACTGTCCCAGTTCACTCCCTCGGCCTCCTTCAACAGTAAACCCAGGCTCTTTGTATTAACAACGACAAAAAAAGTTTAAAGTAAATTATATCTTACAACTGTTTGTTGTTGTTTTATAATTTCCCTGTGCCCTTGGAGGAAGGGATAAAAAGCCAGTTAAGATTAACAGGACAGTAATAGCCATAGTTGACTTAAAGAGAAACTGAGTTCCAAAAAGTGTGTGAAAGTCTTAGGCTGAGACAAAATCCACATGGTAACGTTGGGTGGTGCTGTCCGCTCACCTGGGCAGTAAGCACCACAAGCACACAAATGCGTTCATTCTAGGTTGCGTGAGTGTAGAGCTTCAAATACAGCTGACAGATAAAGCTGGTTCAAATTCTCAGTCCATAGGTCTTTCGAGAACTTTCTTAGCTTCTCTGAACTGTTTTATTACGGGGATCATGAAATACTGCCTGTGCCACATGGCTGTGGCAAGGTTCAAATGAAATAACACTGCGCCCTCTTGACTCCCTCTTATTTGCACTCAATAAGTGCTGTTTATAGTTATCTATAGCACTAATCAGTAAATACGTTCTAATTGAGTCTTAATTTTGTCTACTTTTTTAGTCAGCTTCTAGAGATGTGTCTCCTTTCATGTGAGTATTGCTCCTTGGTCCAGCTGCTGTCCACTCCTAGAGCAGCATCAGTGCTGATTTTTGTTCGCTTTTTTCAATAGTGTGAGTATGCAGAAGAATAAGTGGGATGCCACAAGATCTTTGAGATTCAACCAGGATGCACAAAGAGAAGATGGTAAATTTTATTACTTGGGTAACATAAATTCATTGGGTATAAATAACAACAAGGATGGTTCTTTGTTCAAAGTAAACTGCATAGCTTTAAAGGTTCTCTCCAAAATAGAGCCAATATTTGCACATTCTGATAGGTATCAAGTACAGTTTCATTGCTAGACAATCCAGTGGGTAATGTATGGTTTTGTATATTTGCAATTTTAAGTCTGTCAGACACTCTTTGGACCAGTACTTTTACATAAAAATGACAGAATATATCTTAGGCTGTGTCACGGTCCGTTTTCTGTTACTCTAACAAAGTACTCAGGGCTGGGCACTTAACACAGGAAAGTTTATTTGGCTCCCATTTCTTGAGGTCCGAGAGCATGGTGCCACCATCCGCTTGGCTGTGATGAGGACCATCTATGTGCCTCAAAACATAGTAGCAGCATGGTTGGAGCACATGCCAGGAGGGATCACATGACACAACAGGAAGCAAGAAACTTTCAAGCACCCAGTTTGTTGTTTATATAACAACTCGCTTTTATAGGAACCAAGTGGGGTTCCACTCATCAAGAACTACATTAGGCCAGGCGTGGTGGCGCATGCCTGTAATCCCAGCACTCGGGAGGCCGAGGCAGGAGGATTGTTGCAAGTTCAAGACCAGCCTGGGCTACAAAGTGAGCTCAAGGCCAGCCTGAACTGCATAAGGAGACCCTGTCTCAAAAAAGACAAAAAAAACAAAAACAAAAACAAAAAAGAAGTACATTAGTTTCTTTCAAGGGCAGTGCCTGGTGATGTAACTGCCTTCCATTTCACCTCACCCCTTAAGGATTCCTCTCTGCATTGCCAGACCTAACAACTGAGCTCTCTGTATATGAACTTTTGTGGCATACTCAAGCCATATCCAGATCACAGACTGGTTTTCAGTGCTGCTAAAAAGCAGCACAGTTATCCACATACAAGTCATTTTGCCACTTGTTGCCTTAAATTCTTTACAGATATACATAGAGGTATGGATCTGAGAAATAATACAGCAAGAGATAATTTCATAACCCTTGTTAATTACAGTGTGTGTGTGTGTGTGTGTGTGTGTGTGTGAGAGAGAGAGAGAGAGGGAGACTGAGGATTGAACCCAGGACCTTTCCACTGAACTATATATCCCCAGCCCTTTTATTTTTTGAGACAGAGTTTTCTAAGTCATCAGGTTGCCCAGGGTAGGCTTGAACTTAAGATCCTCGTGCCTCAGCCTCCCATAGTGCTGGAATTGTAGGCCTGAACCACCACAACCAGCTAATTACAGTCTTCTTTAAGCAATAAATATTATAGGGGCTGGGGATTTAGCTCAGTGGCACAGTGCCTGCCTGGCAAGTGCAAGGTCATGAGTTTGATTCCCGGTACTGGGGAAAAAAAAAAAAGAAAAAAGAAATAAATATTATATATCATCTTCATTAACAGTAATGTTTACCATTTTTTATCTTCAGATCAGCGGCGGATGTCTGAAATTACAGGGCATCTAATAAAAATGAGATTGGGTGATTTGGACCGAGTCAAGTCAAAAGAAGCAAAAGAAGTAAGAACTGTGTACTAGTATGCTATATTTATGTAAGATAGTTCTTACTGTTTTTGTTTTTACCATGAAGAATATGAAGATGTTTTAAACAGTTTTTTTTTTTTTTGGTCTTTCTTGAGACAGGGTCTCACTATGCAGTTCCGGCTGGCCTTGAACTTACTTTGTAGCCCAGGCTGGGCTTGAACTCTCAGTGATCCTCCTGCTTCAGCCTCCTGGGTGCTGGGATTACAGGCGTGCGCCACCACGCCTGGCTCTTAAGCAGAATTTTTAAAGAGCAATTTAGGTATTTTATGCTTTGTACCCAGTTAGCTAAATTCACATAAATTTTGTACCATCTTTTATCATCCATGGTCCATAGGTCCTCGGCATTACACAGCATGAAGTATATTATTACTGAATGGTGATGTCACACCAAGAGTAGATTAACTGCATTATTGACCCAAGTGCTGACTATCTAGAGGGTGACTTTTTAGAAGTGCTGACTTTGCATGTGCTGTTTAGATGTTCTCTCCAAGATGATAACCCCAGCACTCAAGTTCGAGGCCAGCCTGGGCTACCTAGTGAGACCCTGCCTCAAAAATAAAGAAGATCTTTTTGGAAAAAACAGAACACTATTAAGAGAATGAAAGAATAAAAAGTCACGCCATATATGTGAGAAAATACGTTTTGTATCCAGGACACACAAAGGCTGTTAGCTGGTAAATGTGACAAAAGAAAAATTCTGAGATGGCCTAAATTAAAAATGGCTGGAAGATGCAAAGGAAAAGAGGAAGTTAGTTAGCAAACAAATGCAGAAATGTGTGTTGCCAGCTTGACTCTCACCCCAGCTTTCTGACCATCAGGTAACACTGTGATCCACTCAGAAAAGAATTTTAACTGACCCTCAGCCAGTCCTCAGGCTTCAAGTTCTTCTGCGTAACAGACTGCCCACCTGTCCCAAAGCCTCCCACCCCATCATACCCTGCCTCTTCTCAGTAGCCACTTTACATTCTCAGTAAATGATTTATGCCTTAATTCCCCAAATTTTTTTGTAAGAATACTAGTCCCTAACCTCTAATTTCTGTAACAGATTAGTAAACTTTTACTTCCAAGAACTCACCATCTCAGGAGTTTTTGGTTTAAGAAATGGATAAACTGTACTTACTAAAAAAGCACAAACTCCTAGTACTGTACATGTTACAACTTGGGGAAATCTCCTACACATTATATGCTAGGTAGAAGAAAACAGATTTAAAAAGCTCCATTCTGTATAATTCCATATATGAAATATTCTGGAAAATAAAAAAACCATAGCAACAGAAAGCAACCAGGGGTTGTGAGGAATCAGTAGTGATAGGTGGACTGCTTTAACAAAGGTGACAAGGGGATTTCCTGGGGGTGATAGAACTGCTTTATGCCTCACTGTAACAGTGACTATACAGCAGTATGTGCTTTTCAGAACCCAGAACTGTACTAATGTTGAGTTTTACCTCAAAATGTAAATTATACCTGAATTTTAAATAGCAAAAATAAAATTACTAGCCGGGCATGGTGGCGCATGCCTGTAATCCCAGCACTCAGGAGGCTGAGGCAGGAGGATCGCTGTGAGTTCGAGGCCAGCCTGGGGTACATAGTGAATCCAGGCCAACCTGAACTGCATAGCGAGACCCTGTCTCAAATAAATAAATAAAGGGGTTAGGGACTTAGCTCAGCGGCACAGCACCTGCCTGGCAAGTGCAAGGTCCTGAGTTTGATTCCCGGTACCGGGAAAAAAACAAAACATAAAATAAAGTATGTATGTCTATACAGGATAGTTAACATAGTTGATCTACTGTCTTCTATTTCTTTGCTGAAAGAAACTGTTAATGAGTCCTTGATTGATCAATATTGCATGTCTCTATCTGTTTTCATGAGAAACCACTCTGAAGATATCAATATGTAATACAACAAGCATTGTTAATTTCCTACCACTTTGTTTGTAACTCTGTATTGTCTGTACTGTTCTTTTGCTATTTTGTAAAAGGTTGTCTGTCTGTTAATGTTTTCCCCCTTTTATTTTTAAAATAAGAAAAAAATCACAGAAACAAAAATTTAAAAATTAAATAAATAAATGTAAGTAAATTTATTATGCATGTACTACTAAAAACAAAAATTACTGTGTGAATTTAGAAGCATGACATTTTACTAAAGCAGAGCTTCTGCTGAGTCCTTGCAGATAACTTTACGTCTTCATTTTGTAGTTTGCAGGAGGTATTTATTCCAGGCTGGAAGCACAGATCAAAGCCTCAGTGCCAGTCAGTGCACGACAGAGCAGCTCGGAGAAAAACACAAGGTAAATCTGCAGAAACTAATCCAGGGTGCCTCTGGCTTTGGAGTGACTCTTTTGAAGGAGTGAGGAAGTAGTAAATCATGGTAACATTACAACCACATGATTTGAATTTGGTTTTATGTTTTGTTTTAAGGATTAGATATCAAGGTACTAGTCAGAACCACATTTTATTTTAATTTAAAAATTAAGACTTTTTAAAATCATAGCTTAAAATTTAATGAAAGCATTGAGCTTTGTGTTTCTGTTGTTTTTAAGTTTTCTGTTTATGGGTCTGGTTCCATTCTTTTTTTGTTTGTTTTTCTTTGGTACCAGGAATCGAACTCACAACCTTGCACTTGCCTGTCTGGCCCCAGCCCCAGGTCCCATTCCATTCTATACCAACTGCAACTATGAATTAGCAAAACTGATATACTGTATTATTTGCAAATTATATGTTACATTATATAAATCACTGAAATTTTTCCCATTCCTTGATTTACTGTTTTGTTTTTCTTGATGTAACACTGCATAGGTCTTGTATCATTATACATCACAAAGTGGCTTACTTTAGTCATCATTGAGACACAATACCTGACACCCATAGCTCTGAGAAGAGGTTTATTTTGGCTCACGGTTTTGGGGGGTTGAGTCCCTTGTTGGCTGGCCCCAAAGTGGAAAAGGCAGAGTGGAAGGGCCTGGGCAGAGGACAGCTGCTCTGCCAGGAAGCAGAGAGGGAAAGGAGATGCCAAGGAGTCAGCCTCACCCTTCCAGGTCTCTCTTACCAGTGTACTAATCCACTGCTGAGTACAGCGGCCCGTGATCAGTCACCTTCCAGAAACCCCACTCTGAACACACGAGGCTCAGGGGCCTTCTACATCAAAATCATAACACACATTTTCTGTTAAAAGTTACATTCCTGAGAACTGACCGTTCATATTATGGATTAATGCCTTATCTGTAATTCTGAAATCTACAAAGCTCAGAAGGTGAAAAGTTTTCTTGCATACACTGGTGGCCATTCAAAGTTGAACTGAGCCTACCATGTGGATATTTGTTTTTTTTTCTTGCTATGTAAATGTTCATTAGTTTCACTTTGAAGAAACATTATTGTATTTGATTATCTGTCCTAGATAATGTACAGTATATATAACTGTATTGTTTCCCGAAAAAGGAGAATTCTAAATATGTCTCACTGCAAGGGGCTTACAAAATAGATTATGGAGCTACATGAAGTTTCTAAATTTTTATATTGTCAGCAAACAATCTGAATCAGTAGCAACTTCCTGTTGTTCTAGAAGCAACTGTGACCTCCTTTTCTGTTCAAAAAACCTAGGTCCAAAAGTCGTTTCGGTCAAGGGCGTCCTGGATGAAGTAACTTCACATACAGAGACAGAGGTGCCTCTGGACATCTGAAATGGCGTACTCCTTGAAGACCTTCAGAATGATGACTTCTAGATGTGTTATTTATTAATTATTCTTACAAGGCACATAATCATAATGCTGAAAATGCAGATAGTTAGGTTTTATGAAAAATCTAACTGTAAATACAAAACCTCTTAAATCTAATTTTTAGTATGATTCTAGGCTATGTAGAAAATGATTATTTACAAATTTTGCATAGTTAAAATTCCTAATATTTGTTACTCTTTATTTGAAAGAAAAGTTTAAATTGTTACATTGCTAGGTTCTTTCAACACATTAAACAAAGGAGGGCTGCACAGCCGGCACTGTCCCTGGGCATGAGCACCGCCCGTGCTGTCTCGGCTGCGAATCTTGGGTCTCACTTTGGGAACTGCAGTTGGATGAAATTACCTGTGATGTTCATTTTAAGTTTGCATGAATATTAAAGAGTGAAAGATCTCAAGACCGCATTAAAGTTTCAGGGTGTGAGGTGTGTCAGTGCAGTATTAGGCAGAACTTTTTTCAGCATTATTCCATGGAAAGTACAATGTTAATCCAACTCTGTTTCTTTCAGTGCTTGATGCTTATCTGTAGGTCATCTGAGCTAGAACTACTGATCATTACCTCTCCTCCGGGAAGCTAGTGCCATTATAGGTTTGGTAAAATAACTGTTGGTGGGTTTAGGATAATAAATCTTCTCAGTTGTAGGGGACACTCAGCACACCATTGTTAGTGCTCTGAGGTCCATCCATATTTCTGTAGCCATTTATTTATATAGATCTTTAAAACGTAATTGCCAGTTACTTTAACAGTGTCTAAAACATACCCACATACATCTGATGGGTGAAAACTTTCATAGAGTCAAGAAAAATCAAAATTAAATTTAAATTCTATTTTATAGATCATGTTTTACTTTTTCTAACCAGGCAGAAAGAATGCTCAGGGAAAAGTTGTTCCAAACCATAAACATATTATAAATTATGTGTTTGGAATTTACTTATATATAGCTCTCTGAAAAACTTTAAGATGCACTGTTTCTTGGTTTTTGTTTTTGTCTTCATTTGCCTTGTAGTTGAAATGTATGTGTTCACATTTATTCAGATACTGTACTATGTGACCAAACAGCCCTCTTCTCAAATGTTTAAGCATTAAACTTAGTTTACACATTCAGAAATCATTGTTTTTAGTTAGTAGTTTAGTTGGTATTTGAGCTAGCTGTTGATTTGATATTTTGTGTATGGCTTTGCCAAAGTTTTTGAATTTATGTTTGGAAATTCTGTTCCAATATGTATTTGTTTCAATTGTCTAATACTTTGAGACTAGATTATACCATATTTATTTCCAAAACCAAATATTCTGCAGTATATTATATGTAAACTGTGTTAAACACCGTGTCTTGTGCCGGTTGAAGATACTCTCTGATAAAATGATTTGGGTTTATACATGTGAACAGTGCTGTGATGTGAAAATTAGAGAAGGATAATGTGCTCTTTTTTAACTTGTGTAAAATTGCAAACTGCTTCTCTGGAGGGACTGAACTGCTGAATTGATTTTTTAAAACCAGAATTGAAGTTGTATGTGGTTTTGTTTCGTTGACATCTGTCTGTCATACATGGCACATGCACCACCAACATTTTACTCAAACGCTTAACATTTCTTTTGCCAAATACTTTGAGGTTTTACCTTATGTTAGTTCTAAATTCACACTTCTTTGATTGAAATAAATGTTAATGACACAAGCTGTGAGAAGAGTCCCTTAATCTGAACCATTTCATCTTCTCAGAAAAAAGTCTAGATTTCTCTGTATTCCACGGGTGTTCATGAAAATTTAGCTCTGTTACAAGGTGAGAATTTTTTTTTCTTTTCTTTTTTTTTTCTTTTGGTCTTTTTGAAACAGGGTTTTGCTGTGCAGTTCAGACTGACCTTGAGCTCACTTTGTAGCCTAGGCTGGTCTCGAACTCGCAACGATCCTCCTGTCTCTGCCTCCCAAGTGCTGGGATTACAGGCTTGCGCCACCAAGCCCGGCCAAGGTGAGAATTTTAAGATTATTTTAAATACAGTTACTCTGGTGCACACTCAACGAAACATTGAGGAATAAAGTGTTACCGAGGGCTCAGTGTGAGAGCAGCAGCATACGCACAGCCCTGGGTTTGATATCCGGTTGAGGGGACGGGGAGAACAACAGAAGTACTGCAGAAAAGATGATCAGGTAACTGTGCTGACAGCACATAGCGCCACTAATGTGTTTGTTATTTTCCATCTTTAGAATGCTGTATTGTGAGATGTGCTCATCACTCTGAAAACAGGCTGAAACTCTGTTACGCTTATTTGCTAATGGTAAATGGGTTAGGCAAAGACTCCTGTTAGAAAGTAACATCTAAACTAAAATCTGATTAATAGGAGAGAGTCTTGTAGACAGTGGGAATAGCTAATGTGAAGGGATTTAAAGGCGGAATGAGCTTGTTTGTGGGAGGAACCGGTAGGCTGTGACTGGAATGTAGTAAACAAAAGGGAAAGGAGGTCTGCGGGGCAGCCATGGGCTTGGGTGTGTTAACCCTGCAGATTCAAGTTTAAACAGGTTGTAAAATTAGATGTGGCGGCGCATGCCTATAACCCCAGCACTTGGGAGGCTGAGGCGAGAGGATCACTGCAAGTTCAAGGCCAGCCTGGGCTACATAGTTCAGGGCCAGCCTGAACTACACACTGAGGCCCTATCTCAAAAAAACAACAAAAGTTGAACTGTACTCAGAGTTCGATGGAAACTTGCCTAGCCTGACATAAAATAGCACCCACACCACTCCCATCACGCCATCATGGTTTTTCTATCTGCTGTCACTGCTCTGCTACATTCCTTCTTTTATTTGTTGGTCTGTCTCCCATACTAGAATGTGAGCGCCACAAGAGTAGAGCGCTGATCTTCTTGACCACCACTGTATCCCCAGAGCCCACAAAAGTCATTAGAGTGGCTGGGAGTTCCCCTTTGAAGGTCGTGTCTGCGGTCTGGCCTGTCCCCAGCCTGATGGCGTCACTTTCATCTGCACCTGCTTAGATCATTAACAGGTGGAAGCCTTGGGACAATCACTTCATCATGAGTCCTTAAGACCAGCCTGCCACTCTGCAGAGAAACACATTAACTTAGTGTCAATAGACATGAACCCACATGAGTTCTGCTGAAATCTACAACTTCAGGTTCCAAGTAAAAAAAAAATTTAAATAAGTTGCCACCTTTTTCTCTCAGTGTACTAAATGTGAACACTGGAATAATGAGCAACCACTGCAGGATTTTTTTTTTAAAAAAAAACAGGGTCTCACTATGTAGCCTAGGCAGGCCTTGAACTTATCGCAGTTCTCCTGCCTCAGCCTCCCTAGTGCCAGGATCAAGGCGTGTGCCACCACATCCAGAAACTGCAATATTTTAACAGGGAAGGCACCATGGAGTTATGATCACCTCACAAGCTCAACAACATGATTATTCATGTATTGCTCATCCTATATTTTTCTCACCTTTTTTTCTTCTCTTTTTATTTGTGTAATACTACAAGAAAAAATGAACAGCATCAGGCAAATATAGAATATCATTATGTCACCAGTATACATTGTGTGATCAAGAAGTATATTGAATGTTTATTTTTTTAATTTATTACAATAAAAGATACATTGCCACTAACCCATCTTAGTCACTTCCCATGGCTGAGACACAGTACCCAGCACCTAGACTTAGAGGAGAGTCTTGTGTGGGGTCACACGCTCAAGGGCCTGGGTAGAGGAAAGCTGCTCCCTTCATGGCCAGCAAAGGAGAGACACCCTCTGGGTCCCATCCAGGCACCTGCCTCTTCTGACCGGACATCCCTTCCTAACAGTGAGTCAGCTATAATAATCCCTGTAATCCAGTCACCTTCCAAACAGGCTTGGGGCCATTTTAGATATAAATCATTGCCCCCCAGGCCCCCGAGACATCTGCATCTCTTCATGTAAAATGCATTTAGTCTAACTCTTAGAAGTCACCAAGGTCTTAAACAGGTTCAGCATTACTGAAAAATCGCAGTCCGAAGTCTCCTCTGAGACAAATGGCAGACTCTTAGCTGTGAGCCCCTGTGAATATCAAAAAGAAATCTGAACACTGAAGACAGGCACAGGGTAGACATTCCCACCCAAAAGGGAGGAACAAGGACATAGAAACCAGTGAGGCCAAAGCAAGAACAAAGCCCGGCAGGCAGACACTCAGTCCTTCGGGTCCCTGGCCATCAAGCTGTGGCAGGATGTGAACTCCAGTGGTTTGGGTGGCCCTGCCCCTACACTTACCGCCGCACTGGCTGTAACTCTCATGGCTTCTCGCTTGGGCTGGCTTTGCTTACGGATTTTCTCATATTCCATGTTCCTGGCTTCAGTTTATTGGGGTCTCCACTGCACTTTTGGCTCTACTCTCACAGCTTCGTTCTCGCTGCTCTCACAGGCCACACTGACTTCTCAGGCCTTCTGAAATCTGGGTGGAGGGGCTGGGGACTTAGCTCAGCAGCAAAAGCACCTGCCTGGCAAGTGCAAGGTCGTGAGTTCGGTTCCCGGTACCGGAGAAAAACCAAAAAAAAAAAATCTGGGTGGAGGCCTCTCTGACCCATAACCCTTGCATTCTGTACACCTGTGGAAACAGCACCATGTGAATGATGCCACGTTCTGCCATCAGCTTAAGTAGTAGCCAGATGTCCTTGTATGGTGGCTGAAGAGTCTCTGAGTACTTGGCTGGCTGAATGCCGTGAATGGAATCCTGGGAACAAATTTCCTAGGTGCCCTTTTCAAGCACAGTGCACCAGGGCTTTGCTCTCAAAACGGTCTTTCACCTCTGCAACTCTGAGCCTGTGAAGGATGGGCTTTGCCTGCTTCCTGCGGTGCCCTCAAGCCATGTTTTCTGTTGTCCTGTTTTAAAGTACTCAGCTTTTTTTTTTTTTCCAGCTGCTTTTTAATGCTAATTTCAGCAACCAAGCTCGCTTCTCTTCCAGCTTTACTGGCCCTTCCTTCCTGGGTAAACTGACAAATTTTCAAATGGGCAAATTTTTGCTCCTGATTTTCACTATAAACCTAACTAAAAGCAGGTATTTACACTACAGTCTGAACACTGGGCTACCTTGATGTTTCCTCTGCCAGATTAGTCTGCCACCCTTAATCTCGGTTTCCTGAAAAATTTCAGAGCCAACTGGACAAATTTTCTGCTGAAGCATAACACATGGCCTGCAGCCTGCTTCTGGAGTCCTTTTTCCCAGCTGAAACTTCCTGAGCCCAGTCTCCATTGTCTGCCTTTTTATTAGCATTCTCTTCTTCTGAGCTCTAACTGGAATCTCTCGTCAAGCTTGGCATCCAGCATTCTTGGGCTGTTCTACAGCCAGTATCTCCAAACCTTTCCAAACTCCTCCCTCAAACCAGTTCCAAAGGCATCTAAAGCATGGTCAAGTAAAATCACGGCAATGATCCCACTTCTCTGGCGCCAAAATCTGTTTTGGTCATTTTTTGATCACTGAGACACAATACCCAACACCTACAACTTAAAGGATGAGAGATTTTTTTGGCTTACATTTTTTTAAAGGTAGGAAAATTTACTGGAGGAAAGGAATGGAGAATAAAAATGGGGGAGTGGGGAATAGGAATAGCTCCTGAGAGACAGGAGGGGGCCCTGAAATGGGTTGCCTTTGACTCACACTTCTAATCTGTAGGTGGCCAGCTCCAGGGCATGCAGGCATGGTGGGAGGGCTGGGCAGAGGAAAACTGCCTGCCCCGTGGTATCTAAGAAGCGGAGCAAGGGAAGAGCCAGGCAGGTACAGACACCCGTTGGAGTCGCACCACTGTGCCCACCTCTTCTGTCCAGACCCCACTGCCTAACAGCAGGTCAGCTATAGTGCTCCCCAACCTAATTACTTTCCAACACATGCGGCTTTAGGGGCGATTTTAGATCTAAGCCACATCAGTGTCTTTCACAGTATCTCCTCTTACCATGAACACGTCCCATCGCTCCTCCCACTTTCTGAAGCAGTTCTGGAAGTCCTCTTTTATGAATGTCTTTAGTTGTGCTGCCATAACTGCCCAGATGTTCTGCATCAATGTAAGACACGTATGTATTTCATGGTCATTTTGCTTTTGGGGAAGACCCAGAAGTTGCACATTGCTAGACACAGTGAACAGGTGGAGGGGGACACACCATCATGTTTTTACAAGTGTGCCTTTCTGTTAGGTGGTACTCAGGAGCAGCATTCACCGTATTTTCTATCCGACCTCCTAAAGACACGAAAAAACCAGGTGTGGCACACATGTATTGTGTCAGCACTGGGGAGACTGAGGCAGAATCAATACAAGTTTGAGGCCACCCTGGGCTACATAGTGAGTTCAAGGCTACCCTGCCCCCGCAAAAAAGAAAAACATGAAAGAAAACCTCCAGAACTGCTCCATAAAGTGGCAAGAATGATGGGACAAGGGTGTGCTAAGTGAGAGGGGTATTCCAGGGAGATTAAAAGCAATGTGTCTTTCCCTGTAACAATATTTTTATTTAACCATCATAGCTTTTTATCAACTCTTGTACATAT